AAAAAAAAAAAAAAAAAAAAAAAAAAAAAAAAAAAAAAAAAAAAAATTTCCATGATAAAAATATTTAAAAATAAAATGACAAGCTGGGTGGTGGTAGTGTACAACTTTAATCCCACCATTTGGAAGGGAGAGGCAGGTGGATCTCTGTGAGTTCTAGGCCAGCCATGGGCTACACAGAGAAACCCTGTCTCGAAAAGCCAAAAATAAAGTGACAAATATCAAGGAAAAAAAATGACACTATTTAGTATGCTATTTATAATAAGCACACTTTATTAGACAAAAAAAAAAAAAAAAGAATACTATGTAGTCTACTGTCATGTGTTAAAATAGATGTGTTAGTTGGCTCAGTCTGGGAGGAAGGGACTGGACCTGCCTCGACTGAGTCTACCAGTTGATGGCAGTCCTCGGGGGAGGATTTGCCCTGGAGGAGGTGGGAATGGGGGGTGGGCTGGGGGTAAGGGGAGAGAGTGGGAGGGGGGAGAATAGGGGAACCCATGGCTGATATGTAGAACTGAATGATATTGTAAAATAAAATTAAATTAAAAAAAAAAAAGATGTGTTAGAATACAGCCTTAATACAAACTGTTATATATAGAGCACCATCCATACATTCAAATTCTTCTTACTTATTACTATTGAGACAGGATCTCTCCCTCCACACACAGCTCACAGGTTTCTGCAAGGCTAGCTGGTCAGAGTCCCAGGGATGACACTCCCCAGTATAGGATTAGAGGCGGGTGCCGCCATCCTCAGCTTTCCCACGGGCACTGGGGAGTGATCTCAGGCCCTCCATGTCTGCTTGCAGGCAAGCTCAGCTATCTCCAGCCCATACTCACTCAGATCATTTTTTAAACAGAGTAACATCTCATCAGTCAAAATTATAGACTGTGAATTCAGAAGAATACTCTTCATAGGTACTATTTACTTTGGTTGGTAGAATCCAATTCTAGAACCAAATCTTACCCCAAACAAAACAACAGCAACACCACCACAACAAAGAACATTAAATAAAATGTCTCAGGATTAAAAGTGCATTTGATTTTAATTAAAAGTACATCAAAACTGTTCAGGAAAAAAACCAAACCAAAGCCCACAGTTGCCCTTTCTCAGTCATCTTTTAAAATTCATCACTTATCTCCTAGTTTTCAACATCTCAGCTCTGATGACTCTGCTGGTGTATTCCAGTCGCTTTTGCTTCCCTTTGAAGGGTTCCTTATGTCGCTATGAACACAAAAGACCCCTAACTAGAACACGTGTTTAGCAGTTTCCATTCAAGGTCTGGGAAACCCCACAGGTTCAAGAAAGAAAGGCACCCTACCTGGCCGGAAAGCCATCTTTATCTTAATAAATGCTTCGTTACAGTCTGCGAGGAGGTACTTGGCTTTCCTGTGGTAGATTCGGACAACTCCCAGGAGGAGGTGTCCTGATGTCCGGAGTGCCATCTTCACCTGAGTGAGATATGAAATTCAACGTTCCTTAAACATTAGAGGTAAGTGTACTTTATTTACAGAGACTTTTCGGTTTTCCTTACACCCCGTATGATTTAAAGTTGGCTAATAAACAGCTGCACCTTACCATTTACTGCCCTAACCTATCAGTTCTTTGAGTAGCTCCCTTAACGTAGACTAAACAGCAGGAATTCGTGAATTCACTTAGACATAATGGCAGCCATGAAGCAGGAAGCAAATCTTCCCATGGACTTCACCCAGGAGAATGTGAACTCTGATTTTGTTACAGAAGCAAACGTTCTCAGCCATACAATGATTATTTCATCGCTGTCTGCTCCGACTTGTTATTGGCCAGGCATGCTTATTATACACTCCAGTCAACTGAGAAATGAGGGTGAAGTCTGCCAGGGAATTTCTGAGAAAGACTGAGAATAACAGCCTGTCTTTGTCCTTCTCCCTTTCCTGCTGTGAAAAGAGAGACACGGACAGGAGTCAATGAGCAGGACACTGAGGCTCTGGGATGTCTCTGAGCTCCTGAGCCAATCAGATCTGCCTAGAACCTCCCTTTAATATATTTCCTTTGTTAAGCCACAGTTCATTACTTTCTATTACTAGATTAGAAGACACAATAATGACCCAAATAAACATACTATTAATGACCTAAACACAAGTATTCAAAATTCTCCTGGCTATAAGAAAAAATAATTTAGAGAATGTAAATATAAACTCAGAGTTTCCCAGATGGTTTTTCCAAATCATACCATAAACTTAAGCTTCCCAAGTTCTATGGTAAAAATATGTTGTTATCCCATAATTCATGACATCAAAACATTGGCTTTTCCCTTGAGATTCAGGAGGGCCAAAGCAACAGCCTTTGGCTTTTTTCTCTTTTTTCCCTCTCCCTCCCAAGGGTTGAAGGAAGGGATCCATCCTCACTGTTCAGAGGCATCCACTCCCTCCCCTAAGTCAGGCTGAGAAGGAACCAGCCTGCTCTTCACCCCCTCCTGATTTGTCCCCCCCCCCCCCGCCCATTTATTTTTTGTTTCCCCTCTACCTCCTCCCAACACCTCTGAAGCCATTTTATGAACTGTCATGTGCCACCTGAGCCTCCAATAAAAACAAAAGCAGGCTTTCTTGTTGTCCTGGTCTCTGCCTCTTCTGTCTGAGAGGGAAGAACCATTGGTTACCCGCTTGGGAACCACCTTGGAGAAGACTAGCCTGCATGTACTCCCTGTTCCAGTACCTAGCTGTTGAGTTCTGACAAGAACCCTCATCCCCGAGAATCACGGGTCCATTAACTGAGGGTGAGGTCTCTTCCGTGCCTGGGCACTTGTGAACATCGTTGACAAGACATTTACTGTTAATTAGAGCAATAGATAAAAAAGGGAGCCAGGTGTACCCAGCACTCAGGAAGCGGAGTCAGGAGGATTCCTAATTCCAGGGCATCCTGGGCCACATAGACTCTCTCAAGAAAACAGTGGGGCACTGGGATTCAGGCCTATAAACCAGCACTCTAGGAGGCTGAGGCAAGAGGCTTACTACAAGTTCAAGGCCAGCCTGGGCTGTAGCGTGAGACCCTGAAAAACTGATAGAATCTAGACTCGAGAGGCTTCTGAGCCCTTGAGCCAAGGCAGAGCGAAGAGGAAGAGGGCTGGATGAGGGCATCTTGTCTGTCTCAGCCCACCCTCCAGTTCCTCCATGACAGGACACTCATCTTCATACAGTGACTTTATGGATGAATCTATATACACATTTAATACAGTAGCCCTTGGGTTTCTGCTCCCTACCCATTCAAAACATACAAAAATATCCAAAGGCTCCCTCCCAGCCAGTGTTTATAGACAGCCTTTCAAATCCCCTCTTGCCTTTAGTTGGTCAAAAGCTTTTGGGTCTAGCACCCTTCCCGGAGGGGGACAAGAAAGAGCTGGTAGCCACACTAGGCAGCCCGGGGACACAGCGGCCAACCCCCTGAGTCTAGAGACTGACGCTTGCTACTACTGCGCCTTGCCATGTTCAGGTATATACTGTTGTGTTCCTTTGCCCTGGAAGGTGGAGCCTACAGGGACCAAGGAGAGGCTAGATTTTGGGAGGGTGTGTCCTTTGCCCTGGAGGGGTCAAGACAGAACCCCCTTCACCCAGAGTCTATGTGGCAAGAATTCAGGGGAACTGCCAAGTGTGGGCGGAGTCTCAGTTGGTAGGAAATCACTCCTCCCGTGGCCACCCCTGCTCCTGCTCATCCCACTGAACTCAGCGCGGCCCTCACCTCCGCAGGTCCACTTCTCTAAAGGGAACAGAAGTTTTCTGTGGCTGAGTCTGGGTAGGGGCAGGAGGAAGGCAGGAGAGGAGAAGAGCCCACCGGGTGGCCATAGCCTAGCCACAACACATAAATAATCCAAAAGAGTCACCGGAGGGGAATGAGGGGGTACTTGAACCACCCTTCCCTCGGCTTCCCAGTTCTCCAGGCTGCAGTTTTCTCCATCCTGGAGGTAACGGGAAAAGAGGGCTAAAGTGCTGTTGAGGAGAGGAGGGGTCTGTGGGGCTGCAGAGGGTGGCGCTCCCACCCTGCCTTGCCTCTCAGTCATTCTCATCTGGCCCTAAGTATTCAAGTTCTGTGCTGGGTTTCACCTCCTGCTCTAAGAGGGAAGGTGTCCGGCGGAAGGCGGCGGAGATCTGGTCAAACGTCCGGCCTCTGGTTTCAGGCACTTTGAGGAAGGTGAAGATGAAGAAGCCGAGCAGGAGGACGGCAAACAGAAGGAAGACATAGGGCCCCATAGCATCCTGGGACAGTTGGAGAAAGAGGTGTTGACAGAGGGTGGGAAGCCGGGGGGGGGGGGGGGGGGGGGGGGGGGGGGGGGGGGGGACGACGACGGACGGACGGACGGGACACACACGGACGGACGGACAGACAGACTAACATAACAGGGAGCTGGGGCCGCGTCAAGAAGCAGATGGCTCCTTCAAGAGGCAACAGAAATGACCAGAAGTGAAAATTTACCTTGAAAACCCCCTTTAGCTTTTATCCTTTGCTATTCTAAGAGTGTACAGTTGGGGTAGATTCCTAAACCACTGCTAGCATTAATAGAAAGTTGATCATTTTATTTCTGGTCTAAGTTATGCCACTGTTTATTGTTTAAAAGGTAACTCTGCTGCCGGCCCATCTATTTCCACCCACGTTGGTTCTGGTGTAGCTCCACCAGGGTGGTTGCTCACCCAGAAACTATCTGTAGCATGGGGAGTCCCTGACCAGTCAGCAAGGGAACCAGGGCTGAGCGGCCTCCCCTCCGGCTACTGACCATGGGGGGCTGGGCAGAGGGCAGGGAACCTACCGCAACATACTGGAAACCCATGCCAACGATGAAGTTACACGTCCAGTTGGAGAAACCAGCGACAGCCATGGCTGCTGGGCGGGGCCCCTGGCTGAAGAGCTCAGCCACAATGAACCAGGGGATGGGGCCAGGGCCAATCTCAAAGAAGGCCACAAAGCCAAATATGGCCACGATGGAGACATAGCTCATGGCTGGAACCCGTTCCTAGAGACCAGGAGAGAATAGAAAATTTGGTTCTGGCCTCTCTAGATCTCCTTTTGCCCTCGGCCCAGAGGACTGAGATCTCCTTTCCAGGGCTTGTTGGGTGGAAGCTGCCATTTTAGGCTAGAACAGGCCCTGGGGCATCCCCTGTGCACCCCCCTTTAGACAGGGACTCACTATGTTACCCAGACTGGCCTTGAACTTACCTGTGAGCCTTCCACCCCAGTCTCCCTCGTGTGGAGCTGCCCTGGAGCATTTACGAGGGCTGCCATTTTGTTGGCTTCCTCTGGTAGTTTCAGGGTGGAGACATTTTTTGGTCTCTCGTTCCTATAATGGTTGATTTCCCCCGGGGCTCTGAAGATGTGTCTTTGGGAACTATTGCTCCTGAGGTCTCACAGGGACCACTAAACTTGTGCTATATAGCTAGGCCCCGCTGTGGCCAGGGTGCCTCAGAAACAGACAGACTCTAGAACCGAGCATCCATGGTCCTGGCCCACCGTCAGCCACACAGCCTCCCGAGGTTATGCCCATGGGTTAGACGGCTGTGCCCTCACCGCCCCCAGGCCTTGCCCATGGGTTAGACGGCTGTGCCCTCACCGCCCCCAGGCCTCACCAGCAGAAGCAGAGCCACAGTCATCAAGATGGCACAGCCACACATGCCTGCCAGGCCCAGGAGATGGAGGGTCCGTCGCCCGGCCCGTTCCACTAAGAGCACCTGTGGAGGGGGCGGGGCAGCTGGTCAGTTGGGGACAAACAAGAATAGGTCCTCTAGGCACCCAGGGCTAAAAAACCAGGGATGCGGCCATCCCACAGGCAAGCAGTTACCGAGACCAACGTGAAGACGGTGTTGACCACACCAGCTCCTATGGTGGCGTAGGCCGGCTGGCCTACCCCCGCTGACTCGAAGATGCTGGTGGAATAGTAGAAAACCTAGAAGGGAGGGAGCAGGCAAGGCAGTGAATGGCAGGCAACGGCAGGGATGTCTGGTCCTTCATCCCACCCAGGATGGAACCTGACCGCTGATGGAGGAGGTGGCCTGCTCCCCCCCCCCCCCGCCCCCCCCGGCGGTCTGGGCCTGGGTCTCCACACGTACGGCGTTGATGCCCGAGAGTTGCTGACTCAGCTGCAGAACAACGGCAATGATCAGAGGCTGCCGGTGGGTGCGGCTGCCCAGGAGCT